GTCGAACACGCTTTAATTAAGCTCGCCGAGACTTTGGTGATTAGAAGCGGAGTCGAAACTTAGAAGGACTCCTCATCCAACCTCTAACAAGATACACAAAGCAACCGAACCCAATCGAGTAAACACTCGAAGGGGCCAAGACAGACGGAAGTATGCTCGATCGAGTACCAGAACGTTCGTTCTCAAAGCTTCGAATCCGCTGCGGGATGCGGGGCGCCTCCGGAGCCCCAGGAAATCGACGAAAGCGTCGAGAACACGAGACGTTTCGTCCGACGCCAAACCGAAACCCAACAACGCGACTTCGTCGCAGCTAAAACCTAGGATAGGGATGGGAAATCCGCGGCCTTAATGCTGCACGCGACCTTCTGCGTGTTTGTCAGCTAACACTAAATTTGTCTTTCGTTTTACGTTTTCCTAAATTAACCATTAAAGTTCTCGGTGCTCTGCGCGAGTATAAAATTGTTTTGTTCTTGTCGGGCTCAAGACGCGTTAAATCGCATGAGCTTATTGTTAATGAGTTAACTCGTCTCGAGGACGACAGCAACAAAACAATTTCATACTCGCGCAGAGCACCGAAAAGGTTAAACCTCCAGGACCTATCGTTTTTCTCTGCACACGATATATGTTTTTCACGTGCCTCGAATTATTTGGGATTCGATAAATATGAACGACACATAAAATTATGAAGAGAAATTTTGTGTAAAGAATAAATATGATCTTTTTTTTTAGAATTTTTATTTCATAGGCTTTCGCCTGCATTGCTTTTTAATGGACCATGTAACGTTAATGCCAAAGTATGTGTATCGCTTTTTGAAAATTATCTATTTAATACCGTCACCAAAATTGTATCGATGTATAGAAGAATGTTGAATAGATATGTATATCTTTGTTCAAATGCTCGATTTCTATCTTGATTTGGCACAGCCAATCTGTATTTCTACAGCGAATCGACATATTTATACGTGACAGAAATTGAAACATGTTCGAATTGTCAGCTGGTGGATATTCACCTAAAGGGATAATCAACTTTACGACCAAGGATGCTGGAACCAAATATTCGCTTCCTATCTCTCAATATTATTCATCTAACAAATGATATTCAGTTGAGCTCGCGAATAGGTTTTAGTGTTGTCTGAGAAACTGTTTTTTCTTCGAATATAACAAAAAAAAAAGAAACATAAAATTCGACTATGCGTAATAAATTTGCAACGTCTAATAAGGACGTCTAATCTAATAGGAACTCGATGAAAATTTTGATTACCCCAAAAGTGATCATAATAATGCCATAGTAATTAAGGGTTAAATAATATATATATAGTAATAATTATTCGGAAGCGCAACAGCAGCCTAAACGTTTATGTCGAAACAGTGTCCTCCATTCTAAGCATCGAGTCAGATTCAAAGCGAAAGACACAAAGAAACTTTCTTCTTTCAGGTCAACAATGACTCAGCGATGTAAGGGGTAAATAAATTCCACCCTTCCAACGTCTGGAGCTACCAAAGCAGCCTAACCGTTTCTATAAAAACAACATCCTCCCATTTTAAGCATTTCTTGGACTCGAATCTATTCACACAATCAAACTTTGTTCTTTCGATCAAGGACACCCTATCGACAATGTCAAAAGTTAAAACGAAAGGTATCCTTCAAAATTCTTTGTACCTCGCTGGGAACTATATAGCCTAATCTTTATCAATACTCCACACTTTAAGCATTCTTCAACTCAAATCTCATATAGATACACGTAAAGAAAACAAAATTTCTTTCTTTTTCGAGACAAAAATCGATTTAACCTTTTCGGCGCTCTGCGCGAGTATACTCGTCAAATTACTTTGTTCTTGTCGTGCTCAAGACGAGTTAAATCGCACGAGGTTATTGTTAACGAGTTAATGAGTTAACTCGTCTTGAGGACGGCAAGAACAAAATAATGTAACGAGTATACTCGCGCAGAGTACCGAAAATGTTAAGGATATACAAGGCTTAGATAAGCTCTAGCCTTCCGAACCTGAAATTCCTTACCCCTCGCCTGAAACCACCGAAAAGTAACGTAATCATTCTCATCGAAACAACATCCCTCGCGCTCGAATCCATCCACATACAGACAGAGTGACTCTCATTTCTCGAGACAAAATTTAAAGACAAACAAGGCATATACATCAAATTTCCTACCCTTCGCTTGGATCCATCGAAAACTACCCTAACCGTTTCCATCAAAAGAACATCCCCCGCGCTCGAATCCATCCATCCGCAAACAACCCTCGTTCCACCAGCTGAAAACTCGATTCGTCAATTCTAGCTTAAATAAGTTCCAGCTCGGTGCACCTCATCCCTGACCTAGAACCAGCTCGAGTAGCCTAAGCGTACGGACCTCGACCGTGGTTCGAATTTCGCGTCGCGGGAGCGCCTGGCGTCGTCGCGCCACCGCGGATTCAGGCTAGCGGGTGGCTCGAGCTGCGTCCTTGGACCGTGTCCGACGGTGTCCAGGACACCGACCAGCGATCTCTCGACAACGAAGGACTCACGTTTCTCATCTCTGAGTCGCGGCGACGTGCTCACGTGCGTTTGTCCGCTCGTCGCACGGTCGTTGCACCGTCGGCGGTCGTTGCGGCAGCGTTCTGGACGTCGACGGCGCAGGTGACAACGACGACGAGGGCGGCGACGTATGCGACGTGGACGACGACGATCCAACGCGATGGTGTCGATGAGAGACGAACCGTACGCGCAACACGGAATGGCGAGCACTCGGTGCAATCGCGAAGCACACGCGAGCGACGAGCATCGCCCCAGCTCGGCACCAAGCTCACGACTGCCACTCGACCGAGGGTTTCGCCAGGGGGTTGCTTCGACTCGAGTTCACCGGTTCAATCGGGTGGCTAGGGGTTGGCCTGAGAGGGGCCGGGGGTGCGCTGCTGACCGTACGCCAGCGACGTCTGTCGAGAGTTTAGGGTGGCTCGCGGACGAAGAGCGCGCACGCTCGTTGGGCGGAGGGGCCGAGGATGCCGCCACCCCCGGTGCGAGTTTTCGGGTACTCGGACAGGGGCGGAAGGGTAGACGGTTACGCGTATTTGTTGTGATTATATTTTTTAATCGGAGCGTCGAGGGATGTTCGGAAGGGCGAGGGTACCGAGAGGGGTGCGGTAATTGGTTTTATGACCGAGGGCTATTTTGGGGGATGAAATTTCATGTATTTCGGCGAAGGATGTCGTAATTATAGATTCGAAGTACCCGGGGGGATGGAATGATTCGTGATGGGAGTTTAAATACTTCACTGTTGAAAGTTGGGAGAATGAAATTCGTAATAATAATAGCGCCTGCTACATGGGATGCTTCAAGAGAAAATAAGTGGTTCGTTTGATGCTTAAATTTCAGAAATGAAATTCTATATATTTCCTTTGATACTATTACTCGATACTATTGAATAGTATTTCTTACGAATTTATTATGTATCATACACAGTCAGTCTCATAAATATTCATAACCTCTATTAAAGATCTATTAAAGAAATTTGTATAAATTAAATGCTAGGTTCGATGTTTCCAAGTGTACGTTTATATAAATATATACATGTATAAGCCTGTGCATATACATATTTGTAATGAAAAATTCATTTGGTGATATCTGAACTATTATTTAATTTAATCGAACTTAATAGACGTCGAGGGCCAAATATTTATGGGATTTAGTGTAATCTGAGTACCGTAAAGATATATCATTGTTATTATTATCATATCGACCCTGTATCACCTGAACGACAAGATTCGTTTGCCTTGGTTACCTTCTTGTCATAATAAATAGAAAATGCGTTCGTGTAATAAATTCTGCGCCACGACAATGCAGTCGCGGATAATTCCGCGACGCAGTAGAATCTGTCGATCATGGCAAGACACGCGATGCTGGCGTTAACTCTCTAAATTAAAACTGTGACGTGATGCTTAATGCGCGACGTGCAACCGAGGAAGCATGCACATAAACACCCTCCGGATCGAAACGTTGGACTCGATGCATAAATAAAGCTCGGAAATAAATCTCTGCAGGCCTTCGGCAGGACTGGAATTCGTCTTTGATCGAAGAAGATACGTTCGATATCCACCAAAGCACCATTCAAATTATTCTTAACAAATATTTTGTTCGTTTTTTAAACGAGCCTGTAATTTAAAAAATGCAACGCAACCTCTTCTCGACACTTCTGTTCACGCAGGGTCTAATTAAAGTATGAGCTTTAGACACCACAGTCCAGAGGCTTCCGTCGGCTGGATAACTTACAATTCACCGAGGTTTCGGATAAATTTGTTTCCCACAAACGACAGGAGAAATTATCCTTTCCTTTTTGTCACCGACCAACTAATCAAGAATCTCGCTGGTGTTTTCATTTCAAATAAGCAGAAGAAGTGGTGGAATCATAGAAGCCCTTCTTCAGGTGTCTCGCAGCCAATGTGAATTCTTCGACTCTGATCTATTTACCTTAAAAAACATTCGCGCAAAATATCACCAACGAAAGATAAACGATTCTTGTATAAAAAAAAAAAAAAAAAAAAAATTCTAAATCAACTTGGAAAACCCAGCGAGGCTCCCTCGTTCCAGCCCTGCGTGCACCCTAACCCCCTCGCGATCGGGCTCAAACGAAAATTCAGCAACGCTGTCGTGCTCGGAATATTCCAAACAGCCCAGCCCTGGTAGCATTAGCCGGATGGCACGCGGCGGTCAGGAATTGATACTCGGAATCAGTTAAGCCTCTATATCGGTATGCACGTTCGAATTCCTCGAGTTCGCCAGTTCTGACGTAAGCACGACCTTGAGCCAGTTGGCGCGTGGTTAGCCCCCGCGGTTTCCTCGAGGAAGCTCTCTCGCCCTTATCGCATCGATCGCCACGGAGGGACGGGGGAGGCGGACGACCGCCCTTCCCACGGGCTTTGCTGAATGATCGCGAGCCATCAGTCGAAACTGTTAACCGGTCCCGCCTCCGGTTTCCTCGTTTAGCATAGAGGAGCGTTGGTGCACCTACCTAACTGCTGGCACCGCGGTCGGGGTACTTGCACCCTCGTGAAACGGATCAACAGGTTCGCGTGCCGGATGTGCCAGCATACCGGAAGTCATCAGGCGAGGCCACGCGCCCCGCGGTTTCCACTTCGCGCCGCTCTACGATCTGATCATCCCTCTCGTCGAGATAGGACCTTGCTAAAGTTACCCCAGATGTCTCTGGATAAGCGGTCGTGACACTGGGGTCCCTTTGGAATTCATGGAACTTTTGGATAGGGTTCGACAGGATACGCTATGAAAACGATAAAAAAATTATGCAAAACAATGGCGACGAGAAACAATTCAACGAGACGAGAGATGATTATTTTCATAAACAGTCTTCGTGACAATTTCACGATTCGTCTGTTTCTTGTCTAATATTTCGACGGACGTTAAACGAATGTTGTTAACAAGAATAAAGTAAGACATTTTTTATTTACGTTACGTGATATACTTCGATTCTTCTTTTGAGAACTCTCGGACGTCCAGGGGAATCTTTTTTGAATGTCTAGGAGCCCGTGGACCGCAGCTTGGAAAACTCTGGGTTGCGAGAATGATTCGTCGATATTCTTTTATGCGTTAATTACGCGCGAGAATGATTCCAACGCGAGGATTAATTTTGCCTAAGTTTGTAGAAGTAGTTCGAATTCTAAACGATAACTATTCTAGCACGAAGAACGATTCGAGGCGAGGAGATTGACGGGGATAACAGGAGGAACACCTTAATCCAATTCTAAAGATTTGTTTTAACATTGAAAACGAGGTGTTCAAGGAATTATTCAGGAACGCGCTAAAAAAACTACTTACACAAACAACCCGTGAAGGAGCGCTAACAACCCACACACGTCTGGTAAGTTTCTCCAAAGTATTAACTTTTTAACGATAGGATCACCGAGGAATGTGGTACGAAAGAGCTACACCGGGGGAATAATCGAGAAAACATCGGATAAAATCGTAGGCCATCTATTGTCACTTTTATCGACTCGTATTACACACATGCGCCAATTTCAGCACGAAATTGAGCGCGTACACGAACAAATACAACTACTTAGACGATTGGAGGAGATTAGGGTCGATAGAGGTAAGTACAAAATTGCCTAAGCTAACGATGCATCGAGAATCGAAACTCGCCGACGCGAATCGACCAGCCTCGTCGAGTTTGGATCCTGCCGCTATTATTCTGTGCCTCCTTTTCTTCTCCTAATACGAATGCATGCAGGTCCTTGTAAAAATATATATATCAACGTACGTTCACACGTTCTAACGTGTCCTAGCTTCGATATCGGAACGAGTATTCGGATCTTTCCTCATCGCTTCGAAACGCATGCTCGATTTCGGTTTCGTCTGTATCACTCGGAAAGCCGAAACGAGACAAAGAGAGATTCCAATATCACAGAATTGAATTTCTCTGCGCCACGCGTTTCGCCGTGGCCGCGCGGCTAGAAAAACGAATCGCGGAATGAACGAATGGACCGCTTGCACGATTTCCCATCTAGCTTATTCTTTTTGTTTTTTCTCCTTTTTTTTTTCTGCAACGAAGAAAGAATGTAATTGACGATTTCCTTTTCATTTGGATACGCTTGGTCCGCTCGATCGATCACGCTCGAAGCCACGCTACGCAACTAAAGTTATGTACAAAATCACAATTGATCATCCCGCGCACGTGTCACTCGCATACTCGTCGCGAAATTCCCTCCTATTTCAACCCCCGTATAATCTCGTGGAATCCGCAAGGTACATATAAATACACGTAACTACACACGGAACAACGCTAATTCGCGCACCTCACCGGCTATCCTTCTCCCATCGGTTTATTCTTTGTTCGTTTCCGCGTGTGCGCCGATAACAGACCTATAACTCGCTCTAAACGTACCTATAAACGCTAAATTAGTCCGCAAAAACGCGCGATAACGTCAATGTCAAAATTCGAGTACCATGCGCCCGGTGAGTAACGAAAACAAACAAATTCTTCTTTAAATATCTCAAGCAGAAAAAATGCTTCAATGGTGTCTCAACATTGGTGCATCGTCGTTGTCGCGTCGCTCAAAAGGAGAACCCCGCGATTGGACGTTCGTACTGTCATGGTTGCTAAAACGAAACATGGTAAACGCACCATCGTAACGTAATTACGAGATTCAGTCATGGATCGACGGAAAACGCAGTTTGAGTTTCCGTGGTCTTCTACATTCACTTCGAATCTCGTTCAACGTTCATCGTGTCCCGAGGTCGGGCAACTAAACTATTCAGCACTACCGTTTGTGACCGAGGCTCGTCTTGCTTTTCGGGCTGTCCGTGGCCGTGTCGTTAGGCTCTCTTCTAGGTCGTAGGATGAAGTTCAGGTTGTGCGCGGTGTTTACGGCGTAGTAAACGTTCGCCGAGTTTGGCAAGACCAGTTCCCGATCGGGTAGCACCTGGGCAAGGGTGTACTGATCGGGGCTGCCTTCGATTCCGAGCTTGAGCATCGCGTTCCGTATCACCTGCGGCGTCCTCTCGTTGTTCGAGAGCATGATCGACTTGTACAGCACCACCCCTTCGGTCTCGACGTTGTCGGTCTCCATGGTGACCTTGATTATGTAGAAATCCGGCGAGCTCTTGTGCGAGTGACTCGGACTGGACAGACCTACGAGATTGGGACTGGTTCCGTTGGCGGTGATGCCAGTCGGCGGCGCCAGTCGGTTGTGCTGGTTGCCCACGGCTCCGTTACCGCCCCCAGAGCTCAGGGAGACGTCCAACGATGGTAGCGAGGAGCTGGAGGAAGAGCTGGACATCTGGGACGGAGAGGTGCGTCGATCGAGGGAGTTGTGCGGCGAGCTGGGCAAGGAATCGAGGTCGCAGTAGAACTGGGAGCTGCTGGAACTCGACGTGGAGGCTATCGAATCGTTCTTCCGGTGACCCTGATGACCCTGGAAGAGACAACCGACGATCTTTAATATTGCAAGATATAATAGGTATCTGTTTATTTTTATTCAATTTCTGAGACGAGCCATTGGGTGGTCCAGAAAGTTCGTGGCCATTTTTAAGAAAACTTTAAAGGCACATTTGAATATTGAAATATATTTATCGAATTACAGTGGATCCCATAAATATTCGTACCCTCTGTTAACTCTGTTTGTCTATCTGAAGGGATTCGTCTAAATTAAATAATAACTTTGATGTTTTCAAAGAAATATTTCATTTTACATGTTTATCCATGCACATGTTTATAATGAAACATTTATTTGAAAACGTGAAACCTATTATTTAATTTAGACAAATTCCTTCGATAGAGGGTAGGGATGATACTTATGGGACTGACTGTAAGTACCATTTTGTTTCGCAATCTTTCCACCTTTGTTCTCGCCCGTTCCAATATATTCAGACCTGTACCAGCTACAAAAATCGGCGAGGACTTTCTAGACAAACCAATAACAGTTTAAGGAAGAGTGTGCACACCTGTTTCTTCTTCCCACGGTTGGTCAGGGTGTTGCCAGGTGGGGGTGGTTCGATCTGGCAGCTGAGCTTATACGCCTCTCGATCGTCCAGCACCACCACGGAATGGAACCAGCGGTCGAACAAGGGGTCCGTGTTGAAGTTGTAGGCGTTCGCCGCGCCTTGGAGCAGTCTTATCCTGGCGAGCACCTCGAACTCTTTCCGCCTTTTGTCGAAGTTGATCAGACCGTCGGCTATCGTGTCCGGTATCGCCGTGTCGATCATCGTCAGGTCCGTCAGGAAGGTTCCCAGGTACGGTATCGTTCCATAACTGATGTTCTACAAGAAACGATATGGTCTTCCATTGTAATGCGCAGCAAATTAATGAATCGAATAACAGAAGAATAACTCAGAAAGGGAGTTCACTGCACAAATCGATTAACTGTACTTTTCGAAAAATCTTAAATTGTCAAAGCACTTGGTATAGTCACAACTTTTATTTTTGTAATAACTTTCCTGAAAACGACAGAACTTTCATCAACATTTATTTGAATTTATATTATAAAGGAAATTTTAAAAGAAAATGCACATTATTTCGTCGCATATCTCAACTGTGTTTGTTTCGCGGAGTTAATCGATTCGTGCGAACGGTTTAACTAATAATTTCACTTACGCCAGCGTGAGTGTTCTGCTTCTGGAACAGCTTCTGCAGGTGTCGGTCGCTCCTGCCGGCAGTGTCCGCGAACTTGGCAGTGCCCTCCTTGATCAGGAGCTCCCTCTGCGTCCACGCGTTGTTCTCCTCCGAGAATATTCTCTCCAGCTCCCTGAAGAGCTCGTGTTTCTCTCTGGGCATGCACTGCCAGCATTTCTCCAGCCTGTACACGGGATTGCTCTGGAGACCGGAGACGATGGCCTTCAGGCTGCTGAAGTTCTTCAGAACGCGTAGCTCTTGGGCGATGTCGATCCACGTCTCCAGGATTCGTGCTCGTTCCTGACGCTCCTGGCGCTCCTTCGTGGCCGGTTCCATCAGGATCGTGGAGATCACTCGCAGTGACACGGCGTTGAACTGGTTCACGGTTGCCAACACGGTGGCCGCGTCGTGGCTCCTCGAACGATCTCGCCTCGACCAGACAGCGCCTAGACACTGGTGGGCCACGAGTTTCTTGAACACCTCCGCGTCCATGCGGGTCAGCTGCTCGGCGAAATGGCGATGGGGTACCTCGGGGAAGCTGTAGGTCGTCCAGTGATCCACGATCGAATCGGGGGAACCGCGTGGGAGTCGACCATTGTCGTACACCATGCAGGAGTCTGGAAAAAAGGACGACGTTAGCTTCTTAATAAGATTGCTTGGTCGTTGAATTCCTAACGAAGAGGACTATCGTTGTAGGTGTTTCAAATAGGGTGGTTCCGTTTAAAAAAATGAAGGTAAGCATGATATCTTGAAGAAAAATTACATGAAAATAAAAATATTTTTGGCATCGTGTGAACCCCGTTGGAGCATTCAACTTTGTCTTTACGATGTTTGTTGTATCTTTAAAAACGAAAAAGATATTTATACCGTTACACACCCTGTATATCAGGGTGCTACTCGAATTAATCCGTGAGATATACTCTTAAATAACCAATGGTAACTAAATTTTACGCACGACGAGTAGAAAAAGTTACGTCTATACCAAGTGTTTCGACACTTAAATTTCAGATTTGTCGAAAAGTGGAGTTGATCGAATCGCGCAGTGAACGTTTCATATATGTAAACAAGATGGAAATTAGACGGGATGTGTTTGCATGCATTCTTTTCATTGTTTTCAACGCTGAAACGGATCTCGCGTATCGGACACCTTATACAGACTTTGAACAATATATGGATGAATCAGACAGCTGACTCGCGCCAAGTTGCAGCTTTTATCTAGAGAAATACCAAATCGGTGATAGGGAGCAAAGCAAACATCCGCTTGGTGTCGTGTACTGTTACTATATCCACTATATATAGATAGATCTGCGTCGTTTAGTTTTAGACATACGGTGGTGTAAAAAACAGTCGTGAGATTTATCGAAGAAAGTTTGCAACAGTTTTTATAAATAGGATTTGAACTAGCGTTACAAAAGAATAGTTTGATTTGGAGTGAGAAATTCCGTCACCTGATCTTCGATTAGCTTCCAGGATGTCTACATTTTCTTAACCCTTTGCGGTCCTGTGTCGAGCGAAACTCGACAAAAATGTTCAGACAATGTATTTTTCTAAGATAGCTAGCAGACATTTAAAAATCTTCATTCACAGAGACATTCTCGTTAATGTCAGCGATAAGTTAATCAGCGTGTCCAGCTTAAAATAGCAACTCTTACGCGTTACTCGATAGAACGGTATGCCAAAACACCGGAATGTTGCGGAACGACGATTAAGCGTCTTTAGTTCACCCTGACAAATGACGCGAAGTAAATAGTCAATGTTCGTACCAACATCTGGTAAATGACTCATCAAAAGTGCATCCATCGAAACTCACTGAATTCATCCTGACCTCCAGAGTCGGACGAATGTAATAAAAGTACATGATTCCAATTTGTATAATGAAGACGTCCTTGACGCTCTGCAATTAATGATCTGGGAAAACATACCAATTCCATCATCGGAATTCGTCAATTGTTGAGCACATAACAGTACACAATCGAGTGGCTTTTATTTCTCTCGACATTCTTTCTGTCACCTGGGTTCTTTTTCATACGTCTGAATAGCGTTATCACCGAAGAAAAGACGAATTCATTTTTTCTTTAATCTCAGCTGACTCTCGACGAAAATTAAAAGTTCTTGATGCGGGTGTTACGAGATTATAGTTAAAATTCAAAGAATTTCATTAATTGCTCGTTCAAATGTATTTACTGCTACTGGAATACTATGAATAACAACTCAGGTACTGGACGACAGATCTATCTTTCTAACGACAGAATCAATTAAAAATTATGAATTTCTTATATTAAATCGTCCCATAAGTTCATGCCACTTATTCTCCTGATACTCGAATCAATATATGAAACATACCCTTAGGTGTAATCAGAAAAGGTAATCTCTCTCGTTTTACGATATTTCCCCACAGTCGCTATAAAATTTCTGTATGAAACGACCTAATAATGAATATATTCAGAAAGGCTCCACAGATCAGAAGCTTTCGTTTAAATAAAACAGAGCCTGGGAATAAAAAAAAAAAAAAAATAAAAAATGAACGTTGCAAAATTTCTCCAAGTAATCGTCAAACGATCCGTCGTGATTACCTATTTGATCTTCACGCTGGAACCTGTGCAAGCGATGCCTTGCCTTGAGCTCGAGCTCCGAGCCAGGAAGCCGTCGATGCGTAAAGTCCAGGAGCCGCGTCAGCAGCGGATGATCCGGCGCCGATTTCCAGTCACCGGGATACGCGTCCAGCCATACGTGAAGCGCCTGAACGAGGGTCTTTCGGTGCTGTTCACCTGTCAGGGCGCCGGATCCCTCGTCGAGGGCGTCGTACCTCGCCAACAATAGCTCCAGTACTTCTCGCGGCGTCGTGAACGCACGATACGTCGCCAAGAAGACATTGATGTACGTCGACTCGAGCTCCCCGTCGTCGTTCGCCAAACTCTCCACCAGACGCTGCACCGTCCCAGCTTTCAGGAAACGGACCCTCACTGTCTCCCATTCCAGGTGCGAAATCTCGTCGTCCGAGTCCTGCGCGGGCGACACGTGTTAGACTTACAGACTAGGAAGTATTAATTTTTTATTGCGGGGAGTTAGTAGGATTACGGTAGTTGAACAATCGAACCTTTTTTGGCTTATCACTTTAATGTAATATAATGAAAAATTTCTTTCGAAACGTTAAACCTACAATTTAACGTGGACTTTCTTCGATAGCCATAGAGTGTACGAATATTTATGGGATCGGCTGCAAGTGTTTTCTTCGACAATCCTTCTTACGCAACCGTCAATTACTAACTCAAAGGGTTAATTTTCAGAGTAGCGAAGAAAAGTATGCTCTTACCGACGCAGAGAGGCTCCTGGTGGGCCGATGATAGCGGACCTTCTTCAGGTACACCGTGTATATGACTCCATCGCCCCTTTCCTCGCCCCATAAGCGCCACGTGGGCTGCAAAGTGGAAGCAAACGACAAAAATTACAAGCGAGAAAGTCGCAGACGTCCGGTGGGAATATCGGTGGGCGTCGACGAAGACGGCGAGGGCCCGGTCGAAAGCGTGCGCGCTCCAGGGGATGATTTACGCCGCTAATTCCACGGACTACCCCCTGTCACGAGCAAACCGTCTCTCTAATAGCGGACGAGCTAATCAATGGACGCCGTGCAGCCGGTAGATTTATCGAAATAATTGACTTCCAGGACGAGAACGACCTCGGCCGTCCATTTCACGGCTTGAATCGCCGATTAGCCGGATGAGACGCTTAGTTCGCGCCTCGCGGCCCACTGGATCATTCGAGACCGATCGTCCGCGTGATTCTGTGATCGTTTCGCGTTTCTCGCGAGTATTTATGGCCGCGTATTAAAACGGGAGATCGAGTCTTTCGGTCGGAACGCAAGGAAATGGTAATTCGTCGAGTGGTAAATCTGGGTTTATGTTAATTGAAACTTCGACGGTGGGCGTCGTCAGTTACGATTAATGGTATCAAGGTTTGAACTGTCCCGAATTAACAGGGTTCTAGTAAATTTATGGAGTCTATAACGCGCGAGATTTCATTTCATCTTATTTTTTTTTTTTCTTTTAATGGCGCCGTAGAGTACGAGTACGTGTCTCCCAAGGTGCCGAGATAAAGTAAAATGTTTTCGAAGGTGGTGATAAAACAAACACATGTTATTCAAATGATCGATAATAGAAACTTATGTTTGCCGACGCGAAGACTGATAAAATTAAATAATGTTTTTCGAAGCGTGTATCGATAAAGCGAACGTTTCTTCGGGGCGTTCGATTTAACGGTTCGCGGCAACGAGGGGGACATTTGTTGAAGATATTGAAATAGTCACGGCCCGTTGGGAAGTTTCTCGTCGATATTGACAAATCCTCGGGAGGCAAAGATTAAAGAAACTCGTCGCGAAGTGGAATTCTCGGTTCTTTCGGTAGAATAAATACGGCTAACACGGGTCCTTTGAGGTTCGGAACTTCAATTTCTATGCAAAGACCCCCCTCCCCCTCCCCGGTCTTCTCGAAGGGACTGATTAGCATACAAATGGCAGATCTTTGTCCTGTAATAACTACTAATTCGATAGCTTTCCGAGCGGGCAAAGCATAAATTCAGCAAAAATACAGCTAAATCAAAATGCATTCAGAAATTATAACAGGCAGCGGAATGCAACAAAAGTAAAATAACATGCTTTGATGCGAAACAGTGAACTAGGATTTCAAGTAAAATTCAATTTTTATTCCAATGGATACTGAATGTTTAAATGTACATATCAGGGGGACCAGAAAGTAATGTCGTTTCTTTTACATTAAATTCGAACAATTACACTTATAATATGTTTCTATTTCTGATCAATTATGTAATCGTTCTCGTCATCGACAATTTCGTCATTTAATATGCAAATTCTCAATACCTGATCGATACGAATCAATTGGTGCATCAGTGAACTGATAAATAAAAAAGAAGTATTGACATTCGCAGAAGCGACATTGCTTCCTGGTCCCCCTGATAATTTCATGTTTATGAGATGCACAGGTAACGATGGCTTCATTATTTTTGATCGTTTTAAAGATATTTGTTTTTCTTTTATTTTTTCTTTTATTCATTTTTTGATACATTTAAGAGTAACGTTAATATTCGAAGAACATAGTCGTGTGGAAAAATTCTAAAAGCGGCCTGCTTCGAACGTTTATTAAGGTTAAATGAACTTTCCCGCGACAAATGTTAAAATTAGAATGCTCACAATGCGGCGGCGTTTCGTCGCGACGGCAATTACGTCCTTAAAAACCGTCCCGAGGGAATAAATTCAGGGACCTTCAAAGGAACAGGGACCACTAAAAATAGTATTCTCGGGCGAGCACGCTCCGCGCCATTCGCTGCCTCGTTCTCAACGCTGGGAACGCTGGCGCAAAATTATTTGGTCCCTCTGGCAGATAATGCTACCTGCGTGGCGGCGAGAGACTCCTAATCAGACACGAGCGAAATTCTCATCTAGATAACAGCGAAGTTAAATAACGAAACAAGAAAAGCAAACAAATGTCTGACTCCTTATTTGAATATGAATATGAATATCAATATGAATTTAATATTGTAAGACTTCTTGGATACAAGGGTTGTAGAAGAAATAGTTAAAATTTGTAACTTAAGTACACACCAAATTACTTTTATTATTCTCTTTACTATATTTCTATACAAACTGTCAACAGACTCCGTTTTTCTTTATCAACTGTTCGGCTGTCGTTTGTTTCACAGACCTGTGTCAAAAAGCTCGCAGGGAGTTCGATCCCTTTTGGCACAGATCGCTACGAGATGCCAACTCATATTTGAATGCCCAAACTCGGCTCTTTCCTCGCAAATATAAACCGTATAATCAAATTATACTTTACGTTCGATGGAAAATTTGCGAATGAATCGTTACGGAGATTTTTTATTTGTTATAATATTATTCAAATAAAATTCTAATCGTTTCGGTTCGTGCAACATTCTTTCAGACAGTCGTATATTATTTTATAAACGTACGAGGCTTATGGAATTGCTAAAAAACGAGCCTACGAAGTCAAATCGAAATCGTACGGATTTCATTTTATCTTGGCCCCTGTGAAGGTATAATACACTCCACTTCGAGAAGAATGCACGGAGAATCAGCACGAGATATCCACAGGTTCTCCGTTTCGCTACAAAATAGACGGTAAAAGAAACGATTAGTGTCATTGCCGTGCGCCGGTTCTACCTCCAGTGTGCAACATTTACTAACTGCAGCGATAGTGACGGCGTTGCACACGTCGCGGTCTCGATCGATGCAACTGGAAAAGGAAAACATTTGCTCGCGGACGGTATAGAACGTACCAAGCAGATCTAAACGGTTGGATTGTACTGAAACCAACCAACCAATGTCAAATTAGCTAATTATATCGTTTCGCATAGAATTTGAATTGCATGGAATAATTATTCACTGATAATTGAACGAGCAATACATATTTTTCTACTCGTTAGGAGAAATTTGATATGGTTATTATCACGTACACGGTTATAATGAATATCGCATCGAGAAAAATTCATGACTGGTATTCAAATATCAAACCGTTCTAATGTTCTAATTTGAGAAACACGTACAAAACTTGTGTAGTCAAATATTCGATGAATCGATGAAACCAAAATACATAATAAATAGATTAGTACAGATTACACAGATAATACATGATAGAATGATCAAATGAAACATAAAATAATACGAGATTAACGTTTTACTGCATACGTAATGTTTTTTTTTTTTTTATAAGTTTATGTAGGAGAATATATTATACGTTTCATATAGTTCTCCCGTATCATAAGGAATCCAATTTCGAGCAATTAATATTCCAAAGACAACCTCGACTTAAACATCAAAACGTGAATAAAGCCTGAAAACTTCCATTCGAAATTATTACTGTAGGGCGACAAGCACCTCCGTTAACGTTTCCTTGAATGCTGGAAATACCTTCGCCTAGGAACCACCGAGGAATGCTGTCCACGATACAGAAACGTGCGATTGGATAATGGAACGTAACGACGGCTCGAGAGTGTTCGCGAGGATCGTAACAGAAACGCGGAGCTACGTGCCCGGAGGAAAACTGGCTGCGTTTTTCGACGATGACGAGGGGCTACGGCGGCGCAGAGGAGATACACACCGAGGTAAACTCTGTGGAAAAAGGCGGCTTACGCTCCGGAACGAACCGGCAATTAGAGGCTTGCAGGAAGAACCCGAGCGTGACTTAAGGTCCTCGTACCTCTCGTCCTTGGAGACGGGCTCCTTGAAACACGTCAACTCTCCATTGTTCGCGGACAACTCACGCCCGGTGAATAGAAACCATGCATCCGTCGAATCTGAATATTCTATCGTCGATTTTCCGATTGGATTTATTACCAGAGACAATTACGAATCGAACGGTCGAGGTGTTTTATCAGTTTCCATTGCAACTGCGATCGCAGAGTGTCGTGGTTAGAAAGTATACCAGGCGTAGAAATTAATTCTGTTTTTTTTTTTTTTTTTTTATAAGAACTTGGTTAAATATCAAGACAAAGAAATCGGATAGTAATCGTCAAGTATGCTTGTAATCCGTTAGAAAAAGGACAATTGTAACGACTAGGCTGCGAATCTTTACAACGCATTCACGAACAAGAATATAAAAATGATTGAAAGTAAAGTTCGTGTTATAATATTTGCAGAATAAAATAAACTCCTATTTAGGTTCAATTTCTGTAAATCCGCAGTTTAGTAATGACTATCAGGTTGAGATTTTGATGTGTACCTAGATTCATCGTAGATCAAATCTTAAATAATTTATCAAACAACACTTATGTTCGATGTCGACAAACATATACAATCTTCGGCATTCAACCGACTGAAAAACCGAAGACGAAGAAGTCATTCGCGTACGTATCCCAAACTATACAAACTCGGTGCACCGCGTACTCTATGAATTTAGGAATCAACATGCTCAGCCACGTCCATCCACGTCGCGTCGCAAAGCGAACCGTCGATAGTCCGACGTGTGTGCAAACTGCCATCGCATCTATCGCTCGAACGCCAGCCTATGAAAGGCTTAACATCGGATTACCGTCGGGGAAGTCGTGTCGATCGATACACATGGAAATACATCCGACTATCAATCCCTGTCTACACCCATCGACCCCCATGCTCGCAGACATCGACGCGAAGTCGCGATCCCTGGAACCAGAAACGTGGAATATTCCGAAGGTGAGCCCCGGCCCGAACGACCCGTGAATAGCTGCGACGGGTCCATCGATTTCTAGAATTAGATTCCAGAAACGGTAATCGCGGTTCTGATTGAAAACAGAAATTCGTGCGCGAGTCGACGGTGGTCCTTCTGTTATTGGAAGCCCAATGGAATGGCAGCCTGAGGAGTGGCAGCAATACCTTTCGCATTTTTGGTGGCTTATTTACAAGGGGATTTTGTG